TTTTTGTAACTAAGTGGAATTGAACCCTAGACCTTTACCTGGTGATCTATGGAGCTTTACTACTAAGCTATAGACCCATAGGTATAATTAATTAATTTTTTTATTAAATAAAATAAAATATTTGATATAGGAATTTTAAATTTTTATTTAATAAAAATTTCATATTTTTTTTTAATTTAATTAATAAGACCTTGTTTATATTGTTGGTGGAGAAATTGCATGGGGCGTGGCCATGGTATGTGATCTGATGCGTCGCATACCCTGAAAATTACAAATAATCAGTGGAGTTGCATAAGCAATAACAAAATAATTAGAGTTTAAAATAGACTTTTCATAACTTCCCTTGTAAGAATAGTCTATCGATAGTCTAATTTCCTTGTTATTTTATAATATAAATAGAAGAAAAAATTATAAAAAGTATGGGATAGTACGAAGTACAAAAATATAAAGAAAACGGTTCCTTAATTAAAACCTTCTTAATTAGGATGTGTAATAGTCATTGCCAAAAGAAGTAAAAAAACTAATTAACTTATCTAATCTAGTACTTGTTACAGATATGATGCTTGGGATCATGAAGGAAAAAGTGGTAAAGATCTGTTAAGAGAAACAACAACAGAAAGAGAAGGAAAAAATTAGTGGCACTCAGCTAAACAATCCACACGCTTTGAATAGAGAAGCCAAACACTTACCGACATTATGCGAGGCATGCTCCGAAGAAGCGACAGACTCACTGAGAGAGATGTTAACAATATATAATAGCTTTATTTAATTTATATATATATTTCTTATATTATAAAAATTATATTAAATTATAATAATTTTATTTTATATGGATTTATTGTTATTGGGATTTCTAATAATATTATTTAAATATTAAGTTAGTATTGAATTTATTGAGTTTAATATAGTAAGTTACAACTTATATATTAAATTTTTTATAAGTTGATATTATTTCAATATTAATTTAAAATTTTAATTATATTAATCATATTTTAAAGATATTGATTAAGATGATATATCAAAATTATATATATAATAGAATTAAATTCAGATATTTTTAAAAACCATATTATTATTAAAAATATAATAAGTTAATTGAAAATTATATTTAATTAAAAATCATATTACCATATATATTATATATATAATCAAAATATTATTAGTATTATTATTATTATATTCTTTTATAATTCTATTTCTAATTGTTTATTATAATAAAAAATAGCAAAAATAATTTTTTATAATTAGATAGTAACAAATATGAAGCAACTGGCAAAGATATTTTAATTTTTTATAATAACAAAAAAATTAAATTAAATTACTTTTTAGGTTTCTATAAGATATATGCAGTCTAAAGATATAACAAGTTTGTTTATAATTAGATAGTAACAAATATAAAGCAACTGGCAAAGATATTTTAATTTTTTATAATAACAAAAAAATTAAATTAAATTACTTTTTAGGTTTCTATAAAATATATGCAGCCTAAAGATATAACAAGTTTGTTTATATTAATACTAGTTTTTAGACCATACAATTGCAATAATTTGTTTAAGAGATATATAGTTTCTAATGATTTAAAATTTATATGCTAAAAAAAAGATTTTGATGAAAACAATTTATATATAGCTAAATAGAAAATAAAAGTAAAAATGATAAAAATTTTTAAAAATAATAATAATTGTTTAAAAAATATAATATATTAAATAAATTTAATATTTTTAAAACAGAAAATATTTTTTTTTGCTGATTGAAATATAAGTTATATAATATAATTGTTTTATTAATAGAAGAAATAATACATGATTTATCTCAAAACTTGATTAAAAAAATTGTAACTGCAAGAAATAGAAAGAAAATAATAAAAAAGAAGTCTATATAAAATATTGATATAATCAGTTGCAACAAAATTTATCTATATTGCATGTACTTGAGAATTTAATAAAAAAAAATCAAGAAAAAAGCAACAATTAAATTTTATTAAATAGAACAAATTATATTAATAAATATTTTAATTTAAAAGAAAATAATTATAGTTGGCAATAAAATTTATATTTTATTATATAATAAATTAATTAAATTTATTTTTTATTTTTAAAAATATAAAACAATTAATTGAAAATATAATGGCTTAAAAAATTAATACGTATATATAAATGTAAATTTAAAAAAATTAAATTAAACAACTTTTAGCTATAATAATTGAAAAAATTCAATTTAAAATAAAGTAATTTAATAAAAACTATATTTATATAAGTTGGTTTAGTTATCAGTTTACAAAAATCAAAACCAATTGATTTTTAGATCAATTTAGTTTATAAAAAATCAAAACTGACTGGTTTTTAAATCCAATTGGTTTAAAAAAAAAAAATAAATTGAAACAGTTTCAGTTTTAATTAAAATCGATTCAAACCAAACCATTGTAATTTCTAACTGACAATAATTTTTTATATTTTATTATATAATAAACTATGGTTTTGAATCGATTTACAAAAAATTAAAATCGACAGTTTTTGAATCGGATTGGTTTAAAAAAAATAAATCGGATCGATTTCGATTTTAATTAAAACCGATTCGAACCGATCTCTAGGTAAAATATTGCGACCTACCTATTTCGGGTTAACTCCTCAACCTAATAGATAAATCAAGCCTTTTCACACATGCATACATGATTTAGGTAACGGAACTCATTTTTTTCTAGACACAAATAAATAAAAATGGACAGCGTGGCATGTCTTATAGAACACGTCTTCTTAATACGCGACACTAAAAAAAAAAAACGTTGAGTGCTTTATATCTTTAAAAACCTATAAAATCAACATGTATTCTGTTTCTGATGAAATTTATGTCGGTCGTGATGAGCTTGTTTCATATTTGACTGCATATACATCTTTCTGGGGTTTTATTTCCCGTTTCCGAGAAGTGTTCGTTACCTCGTCATTGACTTCACCTACTTCCTGCCGGTAAGACCTCGATAATACTTGGGTTAGTCGTTTTTTATGAGGCGAGGAAAATATATGAAAGTAGGTTTATTACACTAGAGGATAAGGTGCGTCATTATTATCTTGCAAAGTAAGGGTAACTTTAAGTCGAGATGAGAGATTCCTAGTTTGATTTAGGGGAATTACTGGATATGACCGTTTGGTAACCATTCCAAGCTCTCTATTCAGGTGCCCTATCTTTGTTGTTAGTAAAGGTCTACATATTTCGGAGGAGAAACTAGCTATGACTTCCGTTATTATTAGATAAATTCGCACTCTTCTGTTTATAACCGATCAGGTCAGAACGTTTACGACACGAAAACGGTTTGAAAGAATATTGGGAAGGAGTAGAATAGGAATGTAAAATGGTAAGATTGCATATAATTCGATATATGATTTGGTGATAAGTCCTTTGAAACTTTGATCATATTCCATTTATAGAGGCGGGATATAACGAACTATAAAGCTGAAATAGAGCGGGTTCCGAGTTTCCACCTAAATCCTCTCCGAAACCTTCGACAAAATCTCCCACATTGCTATGGTTCGAGCTAATATTGGATTTGTACCACTTGCTTGTAAGCTCAGACAAATCAGCCTCTTTTATCTGTAATTGCTCATTAAGCTCAGAAAGATTTCGAAGATGGAGGGCCTGTGTGTGGCGATAATAATTCTTCATCTGATTTTGGCTCGAATTATAATGATGTGGGGAATTTCGCCGAAGGCTTTGGAGCGATTTAGGTGGAAATTCGGATAGAGGGTCTGTGGATGAGAATACATCTGATACTCTTTCAGGAGTAGTAGGGACACAGAACTCTTAGCGAAAAATTAATAGAAAAAGGAGAGACGCACCTCCCTTAAGCCGAGAATACAATCTCCGTGCACAAAGAAATGTTAATTATAATGTTGGACCTTCACCGAAAAGGCGTCGTAAAAACAAGCCCTTATGTATGCTCTTAAGATCTTTATGAATAAAGGATTATTGAATGATCTACTAATACATTCTAAATAACTTGCACATA